ATATAAATTTTTGGAAACGTTTTTCCACATGTTCCCAATTGTGTAAATATTTTAATTACTTTTATCGCTATACTGCCCAGAAATTTGTAAGTTTTTACAAAAAATTTTTAACAATAGAAGAAACAGTTTATCTTGATCAAATGCACAAATTAAATTCATAACAGTTCACAACATTTTAAAATGAATAATAATTAATAAAGAAAAGCATTACTTTATTTAACACCTTTACATTCATAAAAACAGTAACAGCTGATTTCTTATTTTTCATGTAAATTATAAAACGAATTACCTAAAACGTTCAAATTATACAGTTTAAATCTAGGCATATATCACTGTATGTTAAGGAGCGAAGATATCAGCTACAAACAGAAGCATTAAATTGTGAAAAATATCACAATTATTTTTCAGCATATTTATCAAATTACATAAAAAATTTCCATACTTACGCGTGAAAAGGATAATGGTATCGAATCGTTTTTGAAAATTGATTTGAGCATCCATATGAAATACAAGATGACATGCTTCAAAAAGAAAAAAAAATGTTGCAATGATAAACTTCCTTGCTCAAGTCACAGCGACAGTAGGAAGACAGCCGCCAAGATTCACGATCCAAGTGGAGTCGTTTAGCACCAGGGTACCTGGGTTAACGAGAACCCTACCCCTTGTAGAATAGCTAAGTTGTTTCAAATTATGTCATAAAATAACCAACACATAAATCGAACATGAGAAGCAAATTATCTCACTTCCAAATGAACAAGTGAAGAACCTTGTCCATGATCATGATAATGATCGTCCATGATCATGATAATGATCATACAACTTAGATGTAAGACTTAACATGAAGCCTACTTACTTGGAATGAAGCTACTTAGATGTACAGAAATAGTCCTCAGAGTCCTAACTAAGCAGTTGCAAATCTAATTCTCTTCTACGATTTTCATCATAGTTAAAGCTGCCTGGAATCCAGCTATCATCTTCCCAGCTGTGCTTTTAGCTGCCCTGATCCTCTCGATATGCTCGATAACTGTGCTAAGAAAGCTCCTAATTTTTGGATCTTGCAACCAGTTGATTGCAGCAGTCATCTCTTGAGGTGGCGGCTGTATTTTCCTTTTGGCTCTAGAGCTGTAAGTGGGTCTTGCTTCAGACTCCTTAACGTCAGGCTTTGTAAGTTGCGAGAAGTCTTCAGGTGTGGAAGAACCGCCCTTGACACAACTGTCTTATCTAAGTCTTCAGGTGTAGGAACTTTCATCTACTGCTTCTGCAAGTTATGGTTTCGAGTGAGCTGTTTTTTTTCTCGAATCTCCTCCTGTACTCCGGGCAACCACGATATGAACTCACATGTGCTTCCCTACAAAACAGGCAGGTAGACTTATCATCCTCCTTTAGAATACACTGATTACTACGGTGACCTCCTTCACACTTACAGCACTTCTCTGGGTTGGTACATAGGTGTTGGGAATGTCCAAACTGCTGACATCGATAACATTGAAGCGGGCGCTTCCTGGGAGAGAACTTATCCACCTTTGATGTTCACATTGAACATGCTGGCTAGCTGATGAATGGCATATACTGTGGCATTTTTCTTCAGGTCAACTATGAAAAACGGCAGCTTCTCAAAATTGCTCGCTCTACCCTTCACTATCAGCATAACTTTAAGCACTGGAAACTCGCGTCTTTCCAAATCAGTCTTTACAGCTTCTTCAGCCACTGTATTGGGCTTCAGTCACTGTATTACTTCAACACCACACGCAGCGGCTTTTCACTCGCTAACTGAAAGGAGTGATACGGTATTTCTTTCCTTTGTAGAGCAGCAGTTGCTTTTTTGTAATCAGAAACACTCTTCACATTAACATAGATGGACCTAAACTTCATATCTGCTTCAAACTCTTCCTCGCAAGTATCTATTAGCAGTTCGTGCACTTTCAACCAATCAAAGGCATGCTGCTGAAACACTATGGGCGGGGGCACGTCCTCCGCTTCGCTGACTCCTCCTACTTCTTGCTTTTCGTCAGGATTAAGAGCTTAAAACCTGTTTCTTTAGAAACTTCCATCGGCTCATCTTTACCGATAGGTTTCGCCGTCTTCTTCGGCGAGATCCACTTGGTTTATATACTATCAGAAATTTCCCCCTCTTTCTCAGCTTGTTCCCTCTTTGCCGTTTCCTGTTCTTCCATTATTTCCAAAGCTTGCCCCATCATAATTAGCTCAATAGGCTCATTCATACGTTCTGCCATCTTTTCTCGTCCGTACTTCTTAATATGTGCAATCAGTTTTACAATAGCTTCATTAACGTTTGAAAAAAAGAGTAAATATCGTCGGGTTTCCGACTAACTAAATCCAAAGGCTCCAAATCGTTTTATCCGCTTCTTCTTATCCTTTTTTCCTTAGTGAATCGTCTTTTCAGAGGAAAAGTCTCGTTTGGTGTGAGCTGACCGAACTCTTTTCACTGCCCCATGTCCGTCTCATCTCCCTCTGCCCTGAAGAAGGACATTTCGACTTACGCGAAGGTAACTGATCTATCCCAAGATTGACGCTTTGAGTTGAACCTTCCTTCTATTCTAACCTCCCTGCGTTTACCGTACCTACATTTTACCATTTCTTTGATGAAATAAAAGACTTATGTGGGTGCAAAACAAGATATCTGCCTACTTTGTCTGTCTTTCTTTTGTCTGTTCAAGGGTTTCAAATTTCAACCATTATACTTACATAAACATAAATAAAAAATGGAACTGTTCTGTTATCAGGATCGGGTTTAGAAATGTATGTGTTTACGTATGTATGCATGTGTTCATGTATTTATATGTATATATAATTACAAATGTATGTGTGTGTATACATATACACATATAAGCACATATATACAAACACTACAACCTTTTAAACACTTCTTTCCAAAACGCAGCTCCAATGCACCAGTTAGAGCTTTGAAGTCTAGTCTCTGGTTTACGGATAGAGTTTGAAGGATATCCGCTGCGTCTGCTCTCAGAGAAGCGGCGAGATGCCCGGCCTTACTTTCGGAATCCCACTCATTTGTGCCCGCCGCTATAGAGAGTCTTACTGAGTCTGGTCACGGCCAACTGAAGGAAATCGATGCTTGTATACTTTGCAGTAGGTATTTCCATCATACGTTAATAGCTTTAGAGATAGTCGAGAAGAGATGTAGGAGTTTAAATCCATCAGAATTGTTTCCAACTGTCCCTATGGATTTCTTCACGCTGTCACGTTTCCTTGGCAATGGCAGAAACACTGTAATCAAATTGTTTTTCGACAGCAGAATTTCTCTCTTCGATTTTTTGTTTGACAGCAGAAACAGCTCTTTCTTCCACTTGTTGCTTGGCAATAGAAACTCTTTCTTCGATTTATTGTTGACAGGGGGAACACTTTCTGCGATTTATTGTTTAACAGCAGAAACTTTTTTTCTAATTTCTTCAACTTTATATTTAACTATTCCCCTTACATAGCCTCGAACTTGTTTTCCAAATTATGGCAGTAATTCCTCTTTTCCTTTTCTTCTGACCGGCTCCAATTATCTCTTGAAATAGATAACCCCATTGAAACGACGAATAGAAGCGACTATAGCCAAATTAAAATTAGAAATTTATTGTTATATTTTATATTTTGCATATCACCCCCTTCAAAGAGAAAAAGACTTCGCAATAGAGAAGCCTTTTACATGTAAATTTTGCTAATATGTAATCATTTTAATTTGGTACTTCCGCTTCCTGTCCTAAAACCATTAATTGTTTACATTTTATGAATCGAAAATGCTTGAATGTCAAAATTAATCCGAATCTTACCTTCTTATGTAGCGCGTAGCAATGCGAATATCTTTTTTCCAATCACAGATCAAAATTTCAATAAAGAACTTCTGTACCTCACGCTTTTGAATGCGTACTTACTTTCCTTTTCTCTTGCTGCGCTAACACGTTGCGGCTTATTGCTGTTTATTGTTTAAAAATGTATAGGCTGTCTATTGCGTCCCTGATGATGTGTGAACAAGAATATCTGTAATAAGAATTAATTACCCAGAAATAAATTATGTCTTGGTTTCGGCCACGTCTGTCTATAAATGTCATTTTTGTATCTACGTACATTAAAGCCTTCGCCAAGTTGTTACTGCGCCACCATCTCCAGTCCATTACAGCTATCGCGCAGTCACCAAAATATTACAGTTATATTACAGATAGTTAAGAGGGGAAGCGGAAGTAGTCAAATTAAAAAGAGGAATAACAGAGACTATTGCCAAATTAAAGATAGAAGTTTGTTTCATATTTAACATATGTACATGAAAACAATTAACCGCTACATAATAAGAATAGGAACACGTTAAAAAACAAACGTTAAAGGTACAATAAGAATTAGAATCAGCTTAATGAGCATAAATTAGTGTGCAAGAACAGCTTTTGTGCACGATATGCACGATATGATTTGTGCAGTTTCTTGTTGCTATTGTATCTTTACTATTTAACCTTATGTGTTTTAATCCTGTTATATATGACTCATATTTTAAATGATATCAATAGAAAACGATATTGTTGGTAATACCATTTAATATAAAAAATAATTTAATTAAGATTGATAATTCTATGATTGCTAAAACTAGGCATTTAAATCTGAATAAATGATATCAAATGTATCATAATGCGAAATATACTAGAGCAATGGGATATTTTTTAATAATTGAATTTTTTTATTCATTTACTTATCTTAAAGATGTTCTTTTTTATGCATATAGCTATATCTTACATATCTATGTTTATATATCTTATATATCTATGTTTATAAATGCACATAGATATATCTTATATATCTATATTTTTATGCACATATATATATCTTATGCCAAATAAATATCGTTTTGATTTGCACAATTTATTTTATGGGAGCGCTGAAATATAAGTTCGCAGAAACGGCCTTTTACATTCAAACTAAAGTGCTGACTATCGAAACGATATTTACATTAAATAGAAAACACTAAGAAAACAACAGAGAGTACACTATTAAAATATAAATCACAATATTTATTGATAACCTTTTAAACAATTCAACAATATCAGAAAAAAATTAAAAAATCAACACACAACTTAATTTCTTATACCTAACAACAAATACAAATTACATTTTTACTAAACACCACGTGCTTCCCATAATGAATCATTTTCGTTCTTTATTGTACGCACATCTTTCCATATAATTGAGTTGAAATTTTAAAGATGAAATGTGGCATATATTCTGAATTCAAATGATAGTATTCAACATAAAAAATTACTCATACACTTTATTTTCATAAACACATCAAAAATGACAGTCATATTTTTAAACTTGTACATTCTGTGATATAGTGTATAAAACAACAATAATTCCTTTGACATAAATGTGTTTTTCTCGTTTTAGGGTTCTATGAAAACATGGCAAATAATGGTTGTTTTTGCGAAGGTATTATGAATAAGCTGATGTTTTTATTTACAGAGTTATTTAGTTAACGATTTGATTGTGTGAGCAAAAGGGAACTGGTAAATGATTATTTTGTACAACTGATCAAAACAGAAACTTCATAACCTGAGGATAACTGCAGCCTGACTATTACTATAAAAATATATAGAACAAACAATTTGATATTTTTTTTAAATAAGAATAATTCCTGGAATGATTGATGTAATAAAACAATAACATGGATCATACTGAGCAAAACGGTGCGACAAAAGTTGTGACAAATTTAATCCATGAACTGTTAATATGTACATAAAATGGAATACATTTATAAACAGTAATTTGTAATTTATGGTAATAAAAATAAGATAAAAAATTAATTAAATAACTAGCAAATATGTAATTACTAGGTATCTGTTATTTCAAACAATCGATACTTAGCTTGACTTATATGTAGTATGTTGAAAGGATATGGTAAAGCTAAAGCATATAGCAAAAGCTTATTAACTACATTCTTTGCTCTTTTTAAGGATAGGCAGTATTCTGAACAAATGAGAAAAACGTAATATGTTGTAGCATTGATTTCCGTACCAAATTCCAGTTAAAGCTTTCAAGGTTTTAAAACAAATAAAGATGCAATTTTAAACTGTAATAAATATTTTTGTTACAATGCCTTCAATTTATTTTTTAAATCATATAATATCTGACATCAGTTAATCTGATATGCAACAATTTTCTGGTCAATTTCTATAATAACCGTTACATTTTTAATCACTATAATTTTAATTTGTTCATTTTCTTGAAGTATGCAAAATTGCTTTCCTTTTTTTTTCTACACTATAAAACTGCATCAAGCACCAGTTATAAAAAGTGAGTGAAAATAAACATACAATGAACAAGTATCAATTTGAAATTTTCATGTCATGAAACGTAGTTAAGTTTGCCCTCGCCATGTAACTTATTTGACGGACTTGAACACATTCAGACTGGTTTAGAAAAATTTACATCTTTAAATAGCTCTTCGACAATGTTTGAGAAAGAAATCAAATAAGAGTTTGATTTCTTTCTCAAACATTGTCGAAGTCTTTCAAATGACAGTAATTTGGATCACATGATACATTTTATCTTTGGGTGAAAACTGCAGCATAAAAAATAATATATTATACTATGAGTGGCACATGTACCTTAGTTTGAGAAACACTGGAACAGTAAATTTATGTGTCCAATTTTTTGCCCGAAAAATAGTCAATAAAACTAACCCTTCCAAAGATTTTAGTGAACAGTCAGTAAAAGTAATTTTTCCGGTATTATTTTAGCGGTGAATATTAAATAAAACGAATCTTTCCTTTTTTTTTTTTTTTTTTTTTTTTTTTTTTTTTTTTTAAAAGATGACGATCCGAAACACTCGAATGAAGAACGGATAGCAAAAGTGCGAGTTTCCGATTCGTGAATTCGAATGTCTCATACCTATCAAAAATGCATTTAATAAAAAATTTCCAGTCAGTAATTTTTCCCTGTACCACTTGTCACATATTTACAATGCACATAAAAATAGATGAAATGTGGATGTCTAAAAAAATCACATAAAAATGAAGGATGCTTCGAGAAATGCGTTGACTCTACAAATTCCATAATATGGCTGAAATATATATTATTATACAGTTTTCATTTGTTAGAATCGGACGCTAAAAAGTGCAGATAGAACAATCAGGCACGCACTTATTAACAAGAGGGAGGCATATGTGGGATTGCCAGCATTGCAGTCGCTATCATAGAGTTGCCTGCAAGAACTCTTGCTGAGATCCAAACGGTATCTTCCCATCAGAGAGTCCACAACACGACTGCGCTCCGAGAGGCACACGCGTCTCGTTGCATCATACAGGCAAGAACGGTATTCTCGAGCTGAGCTGCAATAAAAAAAAGAAACATATAAGGAGCCGAAAACTCTTTACTAAGTCATGAGCAAAGTATTGTTTTGCAACAGATAACGTAATTCGTGGTGATGAAATGCCTTAAAACCTTTCATGCGCCTTTTCACATAGCCAGTTAGTTCTCAGCGTATTGCTATTCGGCAAAGCATATTTGATATTTACTGATTAGTTCTAATTAGTAAAAGACATTTCTGACATAATTATTAAAGACCATACGTTACGTAAATAGATAGAATAACTTATTGTTTAACTTTATGATGTTTTACCTGTTTTTATTTTTTTTATTTTTATTTATTTTTTTTATTTTTAATTATTTTAGAATTTTCAGTGTAAACTCTTCTTTGAAAGATGTTAAGTTGTAATTTGAATTCACGAGAAAACTGAACTTTGATGTGATGAAATGACGAAAGATTGAAAAGAAAAGAAAGATGCATGGCAACACTTGACGCTCTACTGGGAATTCTTAAAAAAAAATACTGGTTTTAAAAATTTTGCGGTTTTACAGTTGAATTTAATGTGGCGTAAGGGCGAAGAAACCAATGTTTAAAAATATAGTTAAAAAAACGTTGTTTAGGCAAGAGTTAATCCAAGGGCAGACAGGCAAACTACAAGCTCAGCGAAAGCATTAAAAACTTTAACCAATCCTCTGATGCGACACTAAAACAATGAACCACTACACACTATCTTCCTTTCTTCTTCCTTTCCCCTTTCTCCCTTGAATAAAATGCATTGGAAGAACGTGTAAAAAGATTTATAATTCTCCCCCGGCTTCGAAAATTTTTCTTTCATAAACATAATCCTCAGAAACAAAATTGTTTTCTGAAGAACAGGCACCTATTTCTGATCGTTCTCGAAATCAATTTTTTATTCAAAATTTACCACATCTTAGGTTGCTTTTTTTGCCTAATTTTAAATAATAGTCACAGTTGCCAACTCATAAAATAAAATCTTTCTTGTTAAATTAAATTTTTTAAACTGTAAATTAAGAAAAGAATTTCTTTGTTCAACGAATGAATTTCTTTGTTCAATAAGGAAGTCTTTCAAATGACAGTAATTTGGATCACATGATACATTTTATATTTGGGTGAAAACTGCAAGTGGTATAAACAGAAAAAATACGAAAATATATTTAAAATATAATCTGCTTGAAAACTTAAATTTTTAATTTAAATAATTTTAAAATTAATATATAGAATTTTAAAATTAATAAATAGAGACGAAAAGAATCGCAATCTGTAAGGTTATAGTAAAGTTTCATCACTCTTCCGGATTTTATTTTGGATACAGACGAGTATAGAAGACCTAGAATTGACTTTCGTAATTTGGCATTATGCTAGTTTCAGTACCTAAATTTATGCATTATTACTAGCACCTTAACGAAGATCTAATAGGGAAACCATTCGTACAGAATTCTAAATGAAGATCCAAAGTTGGTAATAATGCAGGAGGAAAAATAAATAAAATTAGGCCAAGGCTCGCTAATAAAATAGTATCTAGACCAGTGGTTCTCAACTTCTTCTGCCCTATGCACCCCTTTCACTACTGCTAGACGATGTTCACTTCTCCTTTCTAATACTCGAAAAATACATATGCAGTCAACTTCCTTTTCTCAGATAGCAGTCTAAAAATTTTCTATTTTGTTTTCATTTCTAACTGTTTCCTGCTATTACAATATTCGAAGAATTTATATAGCAGTAATTTTAAAGCGAAAAGTGGTGAAGGTTTTTACAATAATGTGAAAGGATTTTTATTCTAATGAAGAATAACATAGTAAATTTGAGAAACACAGCAAGTGGTTTTTGCAAGAATGTAAGAAATGAAATGGGACAAAGCAGGCACAGAAGAAACTGAAATTTAACATGCAAAAATTCATTTTAAATACCATGGTACCTCCCAGCATACCAGCGCTTTCACCCAAAAAATATTATAGTTTAGTTTCTTCCACGTAGTTACTGTGAGGGTATCATTGCTAATGTTAAAGAACTTAGTTGATTTTGGATGTGCAAATTGGATCTGCAAATACAGTTTTCCTAAAGCAGGCTACAACCTATACATATTCGCATTGGCGTTAGGCAACATTTGAAGTATAACATGAACGCGGAGTGCTGCCAATATGTTTATTTTTCCTGACATCCGAATTTGTTATACAAGCATCTCTACAGAAGCAAATAGCAGAAATGGAATTATTTATCTTCCCCTTCTTAATATAAGAATTAGCCCACAGTAAGCATTCCGAAATTCGATAAGATTATTAAAAACATATAATTTAAAAAATTAAGTTATTGACTAGCAAAAATGTTTGTTACAATAAATTTTTGCTTAAAGTTGCAATTATGTTTTAAAAAACAACTGTTTGTTTGAACTACAATTAAGACGCCAAAAAGGCGCAGTTTGGTCTTGCCTAGTTTACAACTTTGGTTGACATCATCATTGCATATAGTCTTCAAAAAATTTTTGTAATAAAAGTCCCGTCATTGCTGTAATAACACTATTAATAGATAAATAAGAAAAATCGATAGACACAACTGATTAAATAACAGTTGAACAAATCACCAGGATCTTACCAGCAAACTATTTTCTCTCTTCTATCAAGGTTTTCTTCAGTATACAGATCTCTTTGTTTGTCATCTAATGTTTTCTTGCATTGTCTAGCGTAGGGGTCCATTCTCGAATAACATCTTGCATCTGAAAAGGAAAAAAGGAATCACAGTTATCCGTCATTACCTGGTCAAAATGGAATAAAAATCGAAATTATGAAGTTTAGAGCTAAAACTTTACACTCTTTTCCTCCCATAATAAAATTTTGCTTTATTTTTCTCGCTTGTTTAGTATTTTTTCACATATCTGTTCATCGCGTGGGCATTTTCTTATTGATCAACTTCCGTCTCTTCTTGCCCAAGACATAATTATCGCCAAGGACCACAAGGACCGGGCCTACAGTCCCAGATCTCAAGACCTCGAAAGCATTCCGTAAATTCTCATTACTTTATTTTTAACACATTAAAACAAGATGAAACTCTGAAAGAATATTGTGCTTAGGCGCCAGACTGCTTTAATAGGGCTTTGCTGTTGTTTCTTTTCCTCATGGCAGGATCTTGGGACATTTTTGCTCATGGCTGAAGAAACATGTAAGATATGTTCAGCATCTACAAGAGAGATGTATAAAATGTACTCTATAATAAATAAATGAACCTTCCACAATACATGCATGTTGGCTCAAATTTGGATAATAATTTTATGAAGAGTTCCTCCCTTTCTTACTGAGTGCCTTTGATGCAATTGGTAGCACGTGTAACTAGCAGTCGGAAGATCCGGACTTTGGATCCCGGTGAGAGCATGGTTGACCTTTTCATGTATCCCTTGAAATAAATTTAATAGCTTCATAAGTTGTAACTGTAGTGCTCTACGCATTAGCACTACAGCAGTGTTTTTCTTTATTCCAATACATCGCTTTTTAGCGTGTTTCTTTGTTAGGCCTATATCACACATGCCTTTGTTTCACACGAACAACTGTTTCGAACAATTTTTTCTGCCTTGTTTACCACTGAAAGAAAAACGCGCGATTTTTTCCTTCCTTTCGAAAAAAATTGCAAGGCTGTTCGTTTTCAACCAATCAGCTATCAACTTGTTTGTAATGGATAACCAGTTTCCCCTGCGTTAACTCCAAAGTGATCTGTGGTGATTGGCAAAGCAGAAAAATTGTTGCAAACAGTTGTTCTTCCGAAACAAACAGATGTGTGATAGCAGCATTAGCCGGTTAGACTAATTTTATTATCCTTGGGCAGTTACACGTTCGTTAACGCGAATTCAATAAGGCAGCTACATCTTCAGATTCAAGGTCTGCTCTCCAGGGCATTTAAAAATTCAGGTGTAATTTTATCCCTAAAATTTTGCTCTGTAGGAGTATCTTAAAGCGACGGAACGGCAAAATGCTTTTACGGTGTGTCTTGTCCGTTGTGGAATGAATCGAAATGGCTATTTTCTTTGTCCAAAAAGGTTCACTTCACTGTTCTTCGAAGACTTATCCATTTCCTATATCTTTATTCTTCCAATCTTCTTATACGTATAAAGACTGGTAATACAGTAAGGACGGAGCTCTCTGTATGTGCTGGCTACTTACAAAGAAACGTAGTTTTCTGGGCTGTCCTCTTTCTCTAGCAGAAGCTTTTTTACTTTTCTAATTCTTTTAATTTTGATAGGACACGAATGTCTTCCCAGTAATTTCGTTTAATTTAGATGATTCCCCTCTTTGTGGTTTTAGGTACGGGTACAGCCGCATAAATGTTTTATTGTTGAACATTTAGACATGTGCAGTTAGTTATCTTTTAAAGTTGCGCATAGTGGCATTGCAGAACTTGTTATTTATAAACTATATCTTCGATTTACTAAATTGATTCTAGAATAATTTTTTTAATAACAATAAATAAAAAGCTTCTTTTGCATCGAATTGTTCGTTAGAACAGAATAACCAATCTGAATTTCTACTTTTTTTTGTTACTTACCATCTTTAATGTTTTATTAAACTGTTTAATGTTTTTAAACTTCCTGCCTCGGGTCACCCTGATCAGTATAGTGGTGAGCACTCCTGACTGCAGAATCAGTGGGCTCGGCCTCGAATCTCGGAGTCTTGGATGAACGGAAGTGTGTGCGGCATGAAGGCATTTAAAAGAACGGCTAGCCGAAAGTCCCCTCGAGAAGTTTGGTGGTAGAGGAAAAGGCTGGGAGACTCCCTGATCCGTCTCAGTGAGAAATTACGTTTTAGCAACTTGGTTAACTTACTATATCTGAATAACATATTCTTGATTATATTTATAAAAGCTGTAATTGTGAAAATAGAATAGCATCATTGTACTTTTATATCCCTAAACAAACGAATTTATTTTTATTAAACTGCAATCTTGCATTTCGTAGCTTCTTTATACATACTTGTTTCTAGGTAATCTGTAGTACATTTGCTGTACTAGTACTGTAATATTTATTTTCCTGTGTTATATGTTATAAAGTAAGTAGCAGTGTTGCATTCTATAAATCTTTTAGGTAATACTTTTATGCCAACTTCAAAAATTATGCTTAGAAAGTCCTCCACGAAGGCATCCCTCCCCTTAGGCAGATAGCCCTCGAAGCTTTGCCATAATCACACACACTATCAAAAATTATGCAAATTTTAACTGTATTTTGAATCTAGTTACATTTAATACTACAGATACTGTTATAATATGTGAAATATCTTGATCAGCATAATCATTTGATATTTTATTTGTCTTTCAGGCATCTAAAATTACTAGTATTCTGTGATATATATTGTGTTTAATTTATAGCTAGTAAATGTTTTGTACCAAATGTAATATATTGTATTCACTTATTTTTTTTAATGTGTATAATATTAATATTGTTGTTGATTGTTTTAGTGTGTTTGTCGGAGTGTTTCGACGATTGTAAACGTCTCTTTTGGAATTGTTCTTGTAACAGTGTTTACTGGCGAATAAATTGTGTTTCGATTCTTTATTAAGTATTATCATCAATTACTCTAAATGCATGAACCATAGAACGCAATAAGTGGAGCGATTTCGCCCCAAATCTAGCAACCCTGCCTTTTCCTGCCATTTTCTGGCAACCTAATCCCGTTTTGCAGGGAAGCTCTCTCACCGCAGCTGGGCATTTCACAACCCTATGTTCTCACAGTAGTAATAGTAATAGAGTAACTAAATACAAACAGCAACGTTTAGAATACACTGCAATTCATTAAAAATCATAACTGTTATTATTTAATATGGTCAATGCATCTTTGCTAGCATTTAACTGCTAGTGCCGTCATTAAACTAGCATCCCCGCATGTCTACAATCATACTAAACTGGGCAAATCGTTATTTCTAATATCATTCGTGCATAGCTGTATATAAAAAATAGCAAATTAAATTAAAACCTATTTGTATTCTTGAAAAGTCACTCATTATATAGTAAGTTTTTTTAATCTACATTTAAAAAAAGTACCACTTATCACGTTATAGTTAATCATAATTAATTCAGCAGCATTCGTATATTTGTTAATAGTTATGGGCATTATTTTATGTACATCTAATACTATGTAATTAAATAATATTATGTGCTTTAATAAGTAACATCTAATGTTTGTAGCAGGAGTATTATAATAAATGAAATGCATTTACCGCTGTCAGTTGAGTAAATTTAATTTAATTCTTTCTGTTGCAGCTGTTTGTTTGTATATAATAGTAAATTTTGTATTTAATTTGTAACGTGCTCTGTTAACCTACTGCAGTTGTTTAGTAATATGAATTAGTCCAACAAACAAGAAATGCACCTGCTATGCTAAGTAGATCATAACAAACAGCTTTAAGCCCTGGCATCGAAAATGTATAGTATGATATGTAAAAATGTCTATATAAAACTGTATGTATATGTGGCTCTAACCTTTTGGAAAATTCTTAAAATACCATCTTGCCTGCTAACTGTGGTCGGCAAGTCTTAGGGTCGATGGTCATTTTGGTATTGTTTCCGGGATGCTCTTCATTAACACTGGGACGGGGTTTTCACGTTCTCGTGTAAAGCGGGCCACCCCTGTGGTATATCTTGGGTAATATTCTAGGTGATAAGATGCCTAAATGACCAATGGATATTTGCCATTCCTGGCGAATGCATTAACCTGCAAGTGTCTGAGTATTTCTAACAACAACAACAATTATCTGCCTTCGTGCCCGATTCCAAATTCTTATTATCCATCCTTTCATTATATTGTGAACCATAAACACCTACCTTCGTCTTCGAGGTGTGGAGGGTTTTCCTCGTACCCACTGTATGGGGCTCCATACTGGTCTCTTCTGTCATTTCTGTCATAAGTAGAGTACTGATTCCTGCCATTATAACTGTCTGTAACACATTGCCAAGCCATTTCCTGAGCCTTGTCCACCAAGTAGGCTCCTTGGTATAGCTCGTCTTCTCTAGTACAGCGTCTCATCAACTCGTCTGTCATACAGTCCTTGAAACTGTTATAAGCTCTAAAGAAACAAATCATTTTATTAGGGCTAGGACATAAGAATCTTTGACTCCTACAAATATTAAAAAATATATGATAAGATATGAATCTTCGCACAAGTTTTTGGCATTTGAACCTTTCTAATCCTCATCTAAGATGCTGTTAAATGTTTTAAATCAAAGATTAGTTTTACACATAACAACAGAAACATTCAATAATAACGAATGCGATTATTGCAACTTAAAATGACTTTAGCCACCCGTATAATCTTGTGGAGACTGTGAGTACCCCATACATTCCTACTTTACCAGAGAGTACCTTCCCTTCTCTACACTTACTTCTGGGAAAGTATAAGGAACCTTTGCTATTTGCTCAAATATATTTCGTCAAATTATACTGAAAAAATTAACGTCCAGATTCAAAAGTTTTAAATATGTACTTCATTTACTAATTTTCATTTGTAGAATCTTAAATATTTTTTAAATCATACTCTTAACTGTTTTTTCACTGGATACAGATTTTAAATTTTACTAATATCTTAAACAGTAAGTTTATTTTTCCTTCTCATTATTCTTATATCAAAGATGCGAGAGATAGAAATCTAATACTAATTCTCGAATATTAAAAAAGTGTCTATGTATAAAAGTGCAATTTATACCGACAGTCCACAACGATTTTCAAATGCGTTTACTGAAAGATAAGTTTTGTAAAACACATTTTCTTCACTGTTTAGCAATTCACATACATTCCCTCTAACGTTAATATTCATGAAGCTTCTTACCTTTGAACGCGCTTTTATTTCCGCGTTGTGATTTCCTGAATTCTACTTAAAAACCTTTCTATATAGGATTTCAGTTTTGGAGGGGAAAAGGTATTACGCAGGTAATAAGTCTGCAAAGTAAGTAAGCGGGATAATTATGAATAGTTTGATAGCAGCTGCTCAGTGCGAAGAAATCTTTCTTACGTCTTGCTAACTACTAGAAGTATCCGCTACTTAAAATCTGACAAGAATCTCAATTTAAGCTCTCTGAGTAAGTGAGCTATATTTTAATGGAAGCACTGAAAATTTGGGGTTTTAATACTTTTTTAAAACTTTGAAATTTGATTCAACTTATGGTGCCGGACAAAACTAACTAAAAGAATAAAATAATTCAAAACAAATCTAATTCATAATATATCAAAAGATCAATCGAATAAACAATCGTATATCATCTATCAATCGCTTAGTAGAAGGGCGCGTTGTAAAGCCCACTAATGAAAAATCAATAACCCCAAATTCAATGTCCCTCCATTTATTGTTAAATATCTGAAATTTTGGTGTTGTAAACATTTATGACTTTAACTTAACTGACTGTGGTGCCGGACGAAATATTCAAAAAAGAAAATGTATTCATCATAACATTCACATATATCGAACAATCAATCGTATAGTGGTATTGGTTTAGTACAATAGGGCGCATTGTTAAGCCCACTAGGGAAAAATCAATAACCCCAATTCAATAAAACTCCATGTTTCTTAAAAGCCTCCCGGCTCAAACAAATGGAGGGACATGACAGACCACAGTAAATTACACACAAGATAAATACACAAATGCAATTAAATTTTAAACACACATTTATTAAATTCTTAAATATATTGTATTATTAGAAAATACTTGGGTAACTGATCAGTATCCCCTACCACATATTTTTCTATGCAAAATAACACATAATACCACACCAAATTACAGCTTACATTAATTAAGATTAATATTATCAAATCCTACTGTATCATAAGTGTAACACTAGTATTTCTCCCATTTCATCTTCTAACTTTAAGTATTCATCATGGTAATTCCCTTTAAGAACACTGATAATTTTCACATCGATTAATTAATTTAAGTAATTACTCAGATTCCAACAAACATTAAAATGACAACTCTTGCTTGAGTATTAAGATAATAGTAAGTATAACGAGTAAGAATTAACGAGTAAGAATCGAGTAAGAATACGAATAAGTAATAACGAGTAAGAATAACGAGTAAGAATAACACATTATAACAACAATGATAACGAGTAAGAATAACGAGTAAAACAATAATAAAAAAAAATCACTCACGGGGTGAAGTCCATACCGCAAACTCCCATTACTCGGGAATACCTTTGTATACTGATTAATAAGGCGATTTGACAGCTCCACCAATCGTCCAGCGTCCAAAGTTTACTCGAGCACCACATTATTCCTGCTGTCCTTTATTCACAGAATCCTCGTTAATGGAGACAGACAGTTCTTGCAAATTTTAAAGATGACTTGGTTGAAACACCACTGAAGCTGTCCTTACAATTAATAAATTCCAGAGCGCGGAAAAAAAAATCGACGCGGCTGACACAGGCAGAATAAACAGCATCGCACACTTTAGACGGATCCTCCACGAGTCTCTTTCATTCTGGAAGCCTCGAAACCCACCAAAAACGTACAGCATCTTTGGAACAAAATCTAATTAGGAAGTCGGGAAAAAACAGGAATACCGCATCAGGATCACCACGAGAATCTGCATTACAATTCTTGGAACAAGAGAATCGAACTTCTATGCTGAACTCTACGCCTTATGCCAACGCAAATTCTCGCCAGCTAAAACGCCGAGAGAAAATCATATCCGCTGCTCGCTGGTTTACGCCACCCGCTGCAAGGCAAGGCCGCAAACGTCCCGATCTTTTTTTTTTTTTTTCAGCTTAACTTCACATCGCAGGACTCAAATCAAACCGACGAATAGCCGACGCAATAGGCTATTGCGTCGGCTATTGCTATTTAATAGCAAACAACTATTTAATAACAAAAAAATCATCAAATTAAACCTTACCAATCCCGGAATTTTACGTTATCTAAACTGATAAAATGACACACCCATGACGAATCAAACACCAGAAATCTGACAATGCAGTCCAAAAAACATCTGTACAAACAACGTGAGGAAAAAATGGACCCCCCAACTAACAAGCGGAACTAAGCTTTACGAGAATCCAATTACCTTAGTACAAACCCCACTGTCTTGAAGTAGACAAATTGAAACTATAACAAAGCGAAAGGAAGACGATTTTCGTTTCAAACGCCATTAGTAAAAGGCGACAACACAACACCCTACTGCCTCCACTGTTAGTAAAAAGGCCATAAACCAATAAACCAGATGTGTTTCCTTGCAACCGTCTCTCGCCTTTGTTAATAACGAGTTAAATAAAGCCTTAACAGCTTAAGAATACCTTTTTCCATATTAAAATATACATGAATACAAATCAAAATATTAGAAGAATAATAACTTAAAACACACATTAATAATTAAAATTCGCAGCATATCAGAAGCAACATGAGACTTGCGACTAATTAATGGAAGCAACCGCATTAACTAATGGAAGCAAACGCATTTGTTGGACAGAAAGATTGTAGTTAGACATAAGAATAACTTAAAAATTCCCCATTCAAATATTGTAAATGTATAGTCTTAGAGGAATATATACTTCAATAAGAGTGCTTACCTACAAGCTTCGTAGTTCGCTCCTCCTCTAGTACTTGAAAGACTGTTTTCGCATCTCTGCATTTCCGTTGTTTTAAAACAGCTATTTTCAGACCATCCTAAATTGTTAAAAATATATTTAAGTAAAATATTTTTCTTTCTTTTGATGAAAATAATTGAATTATTACAGAATTTGTTTAAAAATTAAAACATTTTATGCAGTTATTTTGTCAATGATACAGAAAAAAGTAATTCAAAGCCTACAGTATAGTTTAATAGCAGGCCGCGCTTAACTTTAGAGACTATTTGTATGTTTTAAATATTGTATTCTGATTTCATATTGTATTCTGATTTCATACCGTTTACATGTTTCTCACTTATACGCTGTTTAATATGCTTGGATTCATTCCTAGTTAATCGGAAACGCTTGCAAAGATGCTCTTTTTCAGTGGAAGTACGATATTTGACTTCTGTATGGAAGACTCCAGTTCTACTCCTAAGGTCATTTATCACTTTCAAGAACACTAAATGCTCACGGCCTCAATGAGCCTTTATTAATAAATAACGCCACATGATAGTAGCAACAGCAGAGAATGAGTAAAATGTAGAATCCCGCACGTTGATGACCATGTATGAACGTAACAAGCCCAACTCGCGAACAATGACAAATGACATCACATGACCCGCACCACAATGCTGCAACATTTTCAACTACGTATGTTTTCCCTTTAAAATCGCAGACCGCCAAAGCGATTATCACCCACATCAACGCACAGGGCTCGCAACTACGACCACAACACGGGCTCAAACGCATCGACAAGTAGCGCCTTCTAGCATCGTATAACAACAACAATATTTATACGCGCCCCGTCAACTAAATGACATTACGCAGGCTAACCCGACTTAATTCCCCGACATTAGGCACAAGGTGGGCTTACCAGCCAAAAAGCCACCTTGGAGATGGTCATACACACAAACTGAAGTCTCGGTGCCCACATCACCAAGAACAACAGCTTTAAAAAATCTCCTTCTGAAAAAAACAAACCCACCGCTACACAGTTCAGGGACCACGATGGGGTGGGCCGATTGCCTGGATCTTCGACTGGTGGTTTATTATGCTACCTGCCAGGACTACGCGGGCAGCTCCCACCAGGCCTTACACGAAATACCAACGACAGCGGTGATTGGACGCTCAATGGACCAGGCGCTGTTTGGCTTCCGATGCCCTAAGTTACGGGGACTTACGCGACCAGACCTGTGAAAGGTGGAAATGAGCCCTACCCCACGGTTCGTCGGGAACCGCCAGGCTCGTAATTATTATACCCCCTAGCCGAGACTGCATAGGTACGTATCCTAGCCAGTACTGCACAGAGCGCTCTGCGTCGACCCTCGGGGGAGGGAATTGCATCGTATAAAAGTACCCGCAAGGGACTGTTTGATAACCCTGATAACCAAATAAGCGCTAGCATTACGAAACATATATAAATACCAGCAGCGATTGCAAAAGCGTATTTCTGGAATGCTGGTATAATATTTGACACTTTCTTGTTCAATCTTCAAAGTTATTTATTCCTTTCAAGGATACTGGGAAATTAAGGCTTCATACTTCCTATTCTTGAGGATAGATGGGGCCACAAGACGACAGCAGAAAAGAGAGCGAGCAAATGTACACATTATAAGTAAATTACACTAAAGAACGATATAAGAGAATTTGAACGGTATCATTAATTTCAAACACAAGTCAAAACGCCCGTTAGAACTCTTCAATTTTTTACTCTTCACAGTTTATGTATTGCGAATTACAAAAAAATTAAATTATGTATTCCAACGTATAAAAGCAGCGCCCAAATACCATAACATCATCTACTATTGTAGTGTCGCTTCAGTTCCGTTACGTTTCTAATTAAATTTAGTTAAAGCGGAAAGGCAACACCTTCTAGTCTCCGCGAAGAACGAAGTAAACAAACTTCGGTTTTCTATCACGCGATTGAACGTGCATGTAAAATGTAAATAAATCTTATGAATAAGAATGTATAACTTCGTAAGGAATAAAATATTGGTTCCATTGGAGTCAGAGAAGTGTTATTTTTCTACATTTGCACACCAGACACTTCACTGGTGACCCGGACGTGATCGAATTCTACAATGGCTGACGAAGACGAAACCGAAATTAAAGCAACAACTGCATCTGTCGCCAAGGTAAGCGTTAAAGTTCCTCCTTTTTGGAAGCCAGATCCTAAAATATGGTTTATTCAACTAGAAGCACAATTTAGAAATGCAAATTTAGTGCAGATCAAACAAAATATGATTATGTTATAAGTTCCACTGAACCCGATATTTTGTCACAGGTATCTGCTATTTTGCTAAGTCCACCACAAGATAATAAATATGAGGCAATTAAAAATAGACTAATTTCATTACATGCTGATTCAGAGACTCAAAAAACCAAAAAATTACTGAGTGAGTTAGAACTGGGTGACAAAAAGCCATCTCAATTGCTATGTGAGATGCGTAATTTGGCGGGCGATAAAGTAACAGATGCTTTTCTAAAAACATTGTGGCTACAATGTTTACCCGTTAATATGCGTAGCATTACATCTGTTAGTAGTGAAGATTTGTCAAAAGTGGCTACAATGGCCGATAAGATTTGAGAATTAAACCCTGTTACTCTCCAAATAGCTGCTGCATCATCCATAACGGTAAAAACGGAAGTGATTGAAAGTTTACAGAAACAGGTTGGTGAACTTAGCTTACAAGTTTCTGCTTTAAACAAGCAATGCCACAGTCGTCCCTATTGTCGTAACCGATCCAAATCACGAGATAGGAGTTACAGTGGTAACAGATCTAGTGATATTTGTTACTATCATAAAAAATTCGGTGATAAGTCATTTAAGTGTAAACAACCCTGCAACTACTCATCAACATCACAGACGAATAGTCCGGAAAACCAGCTTCCCGTCTCTCATTGACGACGGAGGGACAAAAGGTGCAGCTGAGTCGTCTTTTCATCAGCGACAAAGAATCGGCTACCCAATTTTTAATAGATAGATACTGGGGCAGAAATTTCTGTCATTCCTCCCTTGCCTGCAGATAAAAAAAAACATCTCAAAATTAGAACTCTTTGCTGCAAATGGTACGAAAATTGAAACATATGGCCAAAAATTACTCAAGCTTGATCTTGGACTCAGACGATCATTCACATGGCCTTTTGCAATTGCGGAGGTAAACAAACCGATAATAGGCATGGATTTTCTTGCAAATTTTAACCTTTTAGTACATTATAAAAATTGCAAGTTTATTGATGGTACTACATTCTTAACAATCAATGGAACTCCTTGTTTTCAAAATAACAATAATAATATTCCGATTTTAAATGCCGTAAATTATCCATATAAACGTAACATTAACGATTTTCCGGATTTGTTAAAACTGAATGTAGTTAATAATAAAGTTAAAAATCATAACATCGAACATTATATCGAAACCAGAGGGTCCACCAGTTTTCGCTAAAGCCAGGCGACTATCAGCTGAGAAACTTAAAGCGGCTAAAAAGGAGTTTGAATTTATGCTCCAAATGGGTTTATGCAGGCGATCCAAAAGTAACTGGTCGAGCCCACTACATCTTTCCAACTGTTCTCACGTATTCCTATAAAACAACATTAATAATTCGTCGCTACAGCCTGTCTATCTTGGACCGTATCCTGTAAGAGCAAGAAAAGATAAGTACTTCGATATTGAAATCCAAAGAAAAGTTAAAAGAGTTTCAATAGACAGACTAAAGCCATGTTTCCTAGTGCAAGATTCTGATATTCCTTTTCAAAACTCCTATTCCAAGAAAGCGGAACTTGGGGAAACACTTGCACTCAAGAACACTGAAGAAAATTCAGAAACTCATCATAAAACCAAGACTACTAGAACCGGCAGACATGTGAAGTTTCCCAGTCACTTTAAAGACTATCTTCCATAATCGCTGTCATTAGGAAGGGGGTGTGTAGTGTCGCTTCAGTTCCGTTAAGTTTCTAATTAAATTTAGTCAAAGCGGAATGGCAACACCTTCTAGTCTCCGCGAAGAACGAAGTAAACAAACTTCGGTTTTCTGTCACGCGATTGAACGTGTATGTAAAATGTAAATAAATCTTATGAATAAGAATCTATAACTTCGTAAGGAATAAAATATTGGTTCCATTGGAGTCAGAGAAGTGTTATTTTTCTATATTTGCACACCAGACACTTCAACTATCACTGCTGTTATCCAATGCGCTTTCTTTTAATATAATTTGTTTACACTTTTGTTTTACGTTGAAGATTTGTGATAATAATATTTTCAGCATTTCGCAATAAGCAAAATTAATATTTACTTTTAATAAATTACCTAAAATTTAACTATAAATGTAATTTTTTAATTACTTTATTCTTGTTACAAATCAGGAAAACTTCGAAAATATGGAAACCGCTTAAATTGACCCCCTTCCCCTTTAATTCTGGAGTTGAGCCTTGAAGAACATTTACTAAAGTACTAGATGAAATTTTCGTAAGTTACAAAGTTTTCCATATGTATTATCCATCTTAAGTTATTCACATCAAAATGTAATATCTCTGAAATTAATTTCACCTGTCACTGATTGAAAAAGATCGATTTGAGATAACTTGTAGTAAATATATGTAGCGCTTAAATACCTCTGCACCAAATTGAACAACGAATTTATGATTAAACAATACGCAGAATCAATTTTTATATAGTCTAAATTAAAATAAGATAATTATTTTTTATTCAGGTAAAACAGTAAAATTAATCTTTTTAGTTGCGCTTAATAATAACTGTTCTTCCTGAGCTCAAATTCTAGCAAATGGGTTAAATTGCATCTGCTGTTCTCCGTAGTTCCTCTCCTCCCCCCATGAGTAATATAAATTCAAACTCAAAGAAAAGGTCTTCTGCGAAGGCGTCCTTCATTTTACACTTTGCCAAAAGCAATTCAAAAATATAAAAATTAACATAGGGTTACATAAAAGAAATTGCTTCAGCGCTGACTTTCTGCCGCAAAAACCTTTTTATTTGGTGGCGCCATCTCTGTTTATTCGAGAGAACGAAAAGATTTTGCAGATCGAAATCATTAGAGTTACGTTTCCGATAATTGCACTTCAGCATAAGTCGATATTCTACGGTTACCAAAATTCTGCTAAAGAAAATATTTTTTTTCTTTGTAATTAATGTCGCATAAAACTTCACTTTGAACCACCAGCGACTTTAATTGGAAATAAATTGTGGATCATGAGAACTCAGTGTTTTGATACTAGAACCAAAATTATGAAATGTAACTCAAAAATATATTTTGCGAACGTAAGATTAAACAATGCTAATTATTATAACACTGCCATTCCTTTCTTCAACCTCTTATCTTCGGGAAAAATACTTCTTTATATGTTTTTTGCGTTATGGGTGATCATTTGACCATGTTATTTAGCATAACCGCTGCTGTTTTCTATAATGGTTGTCTATGTCTGTAGGTTTATTACCTCAAAAAGATCCTCCGTGCAGGCATCCCTTTCCTCAGGCAGATAGCGCTCGAGCACTTTGTTTTAATGAATTGATTTAAACATAATAGTGAACTCTCCAGACTTCAGATAGCTACAGAGAAAGTAGTCGCATACTAACATTCCGGAAAATATACCGTGTGTGAATTAGCTCCTTTTTTAGAAGTCAAGCGACTCAAAAACACATGAACTGCGATTGTTTCTTTAATGCTACCGTGAACTTGTCAATATTTTTAGAATTATTAATGTACAGCTGTGGTTTCAAATAACTATCATGTATCGGTCATGGAAAGTCTCCTGTGTTGGTAATCAAACGACAAGAAGATGTTTACGGAACAAAGTCCTGCATTTCAGTCCTCAGATAGTTATATACTCGCATACTGACAAGTCTGGAGAATGGAAGTCAGGCTGTGGAACATATTTTTGTCTAAGCACTAGCAAAGCCCGGGGGAAAATGGTACTAAAGTTAATCAATTTAAAGCAAAGAAAAAATATGGCCATACAAATGCGAATTAAAAAAAATAAAAGGAAAAGAGCTAAAATTCGTAGATATGCTTAAAACATTGGTGGGAAAATTTAATATTCTCGTCACGAAAAATTCCGAAAATTTGACCCGTAATAACGTTTCTGCCTATGTAATACATTGTCTTCAGCAAGCAGAATAGCGTCAACATATAGGTATATTCATGGGAATAAAAATGAATAATACTTGTATGCACCCAAAAATATACATATATTTTAGAAGCCAAAATATACATATATTTTATATATATAAAATATACAAAATATAAATATCATATATATATAAAAAAATATACATATATTGCGAAATACCAAGGCTTAGTGACGCCTTGTTGTTGCGTCACTTAGCTGATTGCTAAAGCTTACTTCCATAAGTGTCGCAATTTCTGGATATATAGTCCCTTGCTCGTCTAAATAAATCGTTGTCTCTGTCCTTTTCTTCCCGACTCACACAGTTCGCAGTCTGCCACAGCAGGCAGTTGAAGTTATCACGTGCTGATCTAAAAGGATACAGTTTTAGTATGACATAACGATGAATATTATATTGCATATTTCTGTAGTAGACCTTATTAACTCAATAAAACATAATAATATAGTCCAAGTTTATTTTTTTTTTCTGTAGTAGACCTTAATAACTCAACAAAACATAATAAGTTTATTTTATTTTATTCTCTGGAATGTTAAAACTGGTTGTGACTTTATTTGCTGTGCTGATCCTATAATGTTTGAGACACAGTGCCACTTACTTACAAACTCCAACTGAACCTACTGAGACATGGTTGATTCAAAAGTATTTATATACTGATTCCTATATAATTTTCCTCCTTCGTCTTTGTAGAACTATCAGCCGAGTGAAGGATTAAATAAACCATGTTTTATTAAGATAATCTAGTATTTACAACTAAAATTAACACGAAGTTTATTACAAAATTTCTTTCTTTTTTTTTAATAGTAAGAATGGCTTCCAGTCAAAGAAGTAGTATTCATTTTTCTCATATATTTTGCCACATATGTGGAGAATAATCCGAACATGAAATAGAAAAACTATCTTTGACTATGTAAAACAAGCATACCTTGCATATTTCAGGATAGCTTGGTTCCCAAGGTAAATCATGGGCTCTGCGCGTTGTATGTGGACCTTATATCGAACTATTACAACAATGGACTATCGGGAAGGGAACAGTCTAAAATTCGGTGCGCTGGATGCTTTGGTGGGAACCCAGAAACTATTTTTATGTGTACTATTTCTGTATTGTGAATATTACTAGCATCATCCAAAATGGAATGTACCTGAGTTAGCCTCTGCAAGATTTCCTATTCCTCATGCAGTTAAGTATTAATTCGAACATTTTACAAGCTACCACAGCCGTCTGAGGTTGAATCTGTTATTTGATACTCCTTGCGATATACCGGATGGTAGTGACAATGATTATGAGAGAACTTCACCAAATCCTGAACATTTTAATCAAAACCAGTTCAATAACTTCATTAGAAATCTCATCTTTTTAAATGAAGCTTCTGAATTACCAACAAAAGACACTTCTTTCGTATAAAAAAAAAACCTCTAATGAAAACAATCTTATATTCTGTCAAGTTGTTAGACAACTCTTGATAAAAATATTTCCAACAGATAATCGGTTCCTATTTACTGGTAACTCTAAACGGAGTTTGAAATGTCCCGTTTTGTACAATGACAATAAATATGGCTCAATACCAACCGCAAATTGAACCAAAATGAAAAAGGAATATGACAGTATACTTTTAACCATGGCGAAGATAAAGTTCCAAGAACATCAATGGGTAATTTGTATGGTATAAAAAACGATTAACTTTCTCCTTAGACAACAAAATGGCTGAAAAAAATACATTTGCTTCTTGTGCCTTTAAGATTGCAGAACCAAAAGGACCAATGAGTGAGAAGAGAACAGATGACAGAGAACATGATTTTCGAAAAAGGAATGCATTTCGTAAATCCTTAGTTGGGGGAGACAAAATCGCCTTGCCTCCACTGCATGTAGGCTTGATGAAAAAAATTGTGTGACATAGCTATATCGGTGGAAAAATAGGAGTTACAAACTGCATATCATTTACCATTTGGTCAATTAGCATATCATTTACCATTTGTCTAGTGAAGTTGCGGATTGGGGTAATGGAAGACTGCATTTAACAGAGGCCCGAACAATAAAGTGGTTGAATACGTGTAATTCGACCTGGTTTCGATTCCAGGAGAATAGGTTGGGTGTGTGTGCATTTTCGTGGTTTTCCCCGTTTGTAGCGTGGGTTCTAGCCTGTTTCCCTTGGAAATTTCTCCATGAAGATAGATCTCCCCTTAGGCAGACAGACCTAATGTGCTTTGCCGTAATCAGATAAATAAAATCAAATAATTCAAACAGGCTCTTCCACAGACACCTAGTGCTATTTTCAGAAGAGCAGTGAAGATCGGCAGAATTGTGGGCAAGACAGTAGAGGGTACAATTTGGTTCCAACATAAAGTTCAACGGCAAGCACAAGTACGGCTGTACTCTGACATTCCACAGGCTATGCTGAGATTCGTTATAGAAGCCTTTTCGCATCGCCTCGAATAATGTATCCAAGGAGGAGGAGGAATTTAGAGAACATTATTCTCCAAGTTCGCTGATGTTTCTGCTGTCCATTATGCAGTAGATGTGAGTATATGTATTGTTATTTCACTATCAAAGTTGCTATAAACACACACTGTCTTTCTACCGTTATCTAAATTTCTCAGATACAATATGCATAAGCGTAAATAACAACATACACTAGTGGATTGAGACAGCTTCGTATTTTATTCATGCCGTCATCTCACCAAAAATTCAAATAATAGCATCACAATCAAGTAAAATACAATCACGTAATAACGCAATCAAGCAAAAATTTAGAAAGCATTACCTGCATGTTTTAGAGTCCTGGTATCCCGACATTCGGCTGTCGATGGTGCGAGTCAACGAATCCCTGCACTGCTGAAGACGACTCCTGTCACATCTCTCGTTCCGGCAGCAAGTGATGTCTCCACTGCTTCCTGAATAAGCTAATGTTATCACAAGACAAAATGAGTGTTTACATGCAACTACCGTCACCTTCTCCCACAGGACTAATGCACAGCCTTGCAGTTTGTAAAGAATGCTAACGAGAAAAAAAAATGTTAGCAAGGCAAGACCTTTATTATGTCTGTTTGTCTCGATATTCAAGGTCAGTGTTTGTCATGTATTGCAGCTAATTTGGAGAGCTTCACATATGAAAGAAAACTATTGTCATTCATGATTTGATATCCGTAGGAAATTGCTTATATAGAGTTGGTATGGTGTCAAAATGATGTATATCCTTCACTCACAGAGTGGAGAACTTTTCCCTAAATTTAGGTGCATATCTTCAGATATTTTTTTCCATTTCTCCTCAGTTCAGTTCAACTGGATTGAGATCGACGCTTTGTCCAGCCCGTCGAGTGCATTCATTCCCATTTAAGGTTTTCATTTAAGAACAAGTAAATTTAATGTTGATGAATTAAATGTTGTCAATACTACTTTTATAAATGATAATTACTGGAAAAGGCTGGATAGCATAGAATTGTCTATTAATTGCTTCACGGGCTTCCACATTCAGGGTTTGAAACACAAAAAACTGTGGAGCCAAGAAGCACAGGTCGACACCATTCCTTCTTCTAAATTTGTAACGGCACGATCTAAACAAATCCCTCTTTCAAGTAATCACCTTTACACGTCCATCGGAATACCAGGGTTTCTAACACGACTCATCACTCCACACGTTGCACGTTCATTATTCTTAGGTTCATAAGTAACGTGTTTTGCCCCACTGCAACCGACGATGAGCATACATTTTAGTGATCATTGGCTTGTGTTCTACAGCTTACACTAGGAATTCTCTCGATGAATGGTACCACCTCTAGTTGCCAATGGAAAATCTGTACCCGCTCTTTCTAATGAAGCTTTTTGGTTTGATTTTAACACATGTCGAAGGGATCATCGGTTTCTATTTAGCTTTTTTTTGGCTTTTAACATCTCACATTTCTATTTCGCCATTATATCACTCACTGTTGCGCATGATAACTGGAACCTTATGTCCTTATTCGAGTTTTAGCATTCGAAGATTTTTTAAAAATCCTTCCATTTCAGCTTCTCGCTATGGTGCAAGATATGACGAGTTTTTATTTCAGCCATTCCATCCAGGGTCTACAATAAAGCAGAAACGCGATGGGATGTGACTATAACGTCATTATAACGCCATAATAAAGGTCCCCCTTTTACAATTTGTGTTCAAGTATTAATTAAATACAACTTTTATGTTAGTGACGTTGATGGCAGAAAACGTTTTTATGAGATAATAATACAGGGTAATGCATATGTTATATAACTCCATTCAGGCTCTTTCTTTGAACATCTAGTGCCTCTCCCCAAATGTCTTCTCACCAGTTACAATGAAAGGAGAAAAGTAAATGACATGATTTTTTAGGTTTTAATTCCGAACATTCACAGAAAAGCTGAAGTGAAACGGCTTTTGCTGCCACCTCCAAAAAGCCTAAAGGGGGCAAAGGATGATATGGGACATCACAAAAATTTGACGACTAGAATAATCAGATCGGTTATCATCAGCAGTCGAGCAAGCCTCACTCAGGTGTCGTGTGCCAATTTTGATAGCTTTCGATAGTACACATTTCTACCGAACGCTCATTATTTTATAAATTTCATGTATATTTTATGTATCAGTGATTTTGCTTTCCGGTGAGGGAGAGCTCCTCCATTAATGGCTGTACAGTACAGGTACTTTTTCAGATCTTTCATAAAAAGGGAAGTGGCATAAAGCGAACTTTGTGCAACAGGAATGTGCGTTGAAATTAATAAGAGTTAAGTTAATCCTATCAATTTTAGCTTTTTGTAGCAATATTCTGAATGAAAATAATAATTTTTTGTTGGATAATTTTTCAGTTACCTTGTATATTCCAAAGTAAAATATACGAAAAATCAATTGTATCTTTGGCGAAGTTCGAACCATGGACCTTAAACTTGATATAATAATTCTTTACAAACCTATCTCTTTTAATATAGCTTCTCGTAGTGCAATAATAGCTATAAAACATGGTTTCTTGGATAATTTTGTGTACAATAATTTTTTAATTCAAACATTTGTATAGTTATTATTTACTTTTATTGTCATTCATTTCAACTGAGAGACTGTGCATATTTTCTTCAACTGTTAGTAACTGAAAATTATTTTGAGGAAGAAGGCGTAGGAATTTACAGAAGATAATTCTACACTAAATTTAAGATCAAGTGAATGTTAGTAATAGTTCTGAAATATGTTAGTAATACATTTCTGCAATTTTACGATACTAAATACATCTATTTATAGGTATGAATTATTAGCAGGGATGCTACATTCGAAATCTCAAGTTTTGGTGCTTTTTTCATCATTCAAACTTTTTAAATTCTAATCTAAAAAATCATTATATATTTTATTACAAATTCAAGTTTCCGAATCTCAAAAAATTTTAATCGTTTTTGTGATTCGAACATCTCATCCCTGATATCGCATACATTTTTTTTTTCTTCTTCTAGAGATAACATGAAAATATAACACACCATTTCCTCCATATCCACCGCTTCCGCCTGGATAGTAACGGTCTGAATATCTATCATTGTCCCTGTTTCCACCTCTTTCCACATTCCCGTAGTTGCTTCTCCAAGAATCTTGGGTTCTGTCCCTGTCTCTGTCTCTGTAGCGGTCATCTCGCCTATCGTTATACCGATCATTATAGCGATCATCATAACGATCGCGATCGTCTCGAGTTCGATCCCTATCGTAACGTGTGCGATCCGCGTCAGAAGTTGAGGTGGATTCTCCGCAATTCCAGGCCAGATCGTGTCCGTTGTCCACAAGGTATTGTCCCAATAGACGGTCGTCATCGGGACGGCAACGGTTACGCACGACGTCCATCACACAGTCTTGGAAAAGGTTGAATTTTCTGAAAATAAGTAAATAATTAAAATGATTGAAAATAGTAGAAGTGGAAGGAATCGTAATTTTTTTTCGAATCCGATTCCTAAAGATACTCAAATTTTTTGTCTTTCTTTAATATATATAAAATTTATTAAGAAGAAGTAATTAAAATAGGAACAAACATGAAAAAAATACAAAATTAAGCATCTATTTTCTAAATACAATTTGATAAAATATGTTTCAACAGTAGTTCAAAATAATGAAAAAAAAGTTCCAGAATATTTTTAAATCAAAGGAAATGCGGTCGAGGAGGGTATTATTTCAAGTAAAACCAATCCTAACGAATGTTTCCAACTATAAGAATAAATAAGATTTACAATGAGAGTTCTAGGACTTTTGAATCACACTCTGTTAAAGTGAATCAACGATGCCATGAAGCTAGTACGATTGATCTTCTGTACGGTAGCAAGTCCTTAGCTGTACTTCGAAAACAGACCAGAATGAAACTTGTATATATTTCAAGATAGTGTGTAGAATAAATGATACTACACATGGAACGCTAAATTCTCTTCAGAAAAATAACATTGCTAGACTCGGGGTCGCTCCAGGGTAATACAGGTGACCGCGGTCCACTGAAAGAGCAGTATCGCATTCCTTTTAATGAATGTTTTTATGACTCTTCTAAAAGTAATCTTTAATTAAAAGAGTTTAACGGTTTCTCAAGTTAATATTCGAAAGTTTCGAATGAAGGGAAAAGAGTAAAGATTCAAGTTTTTGATTATCAAACGTTTTTAAGGTACTTGGGCCTCAAGGAGAAATGTTACAATGCTTCGATGTATGCCGTGTAATAAAAAGAGCATAAATTGAACATTATAAAGTTGCGACTTTGATTTTAAAGATTTTTGCTTCATTTCATGCAATACTCAATTTCTTATCTGCAGTACTTATCGCATAATCTTCGTTGAAATAAACTAGTATTAACAGGAAAACGAGTTTCCCTCACTAATGTCATACGAAATAGGTATATGAACTACCAAGGAAGGACAGCCAACTCAATTTTCTGGATTTTTCGAATATCTGAATGCGTCGCAATTCCACCTAATCTAGTAGAAAACTGATTAAAGCAGGTTATTTGGTTAGTAACTCATTAAAGCATGAGGTGGCTATCTGCCCGAATGAAAGCATTTATGCAGTACATTATACAGAAACTTGGCTTGCATTTATGTTACAAATGATGAAAATCACAAAAATCATCGCGTAGACAGGGAAATGTTGAATGGGACCAACAGCTTTTTTGTCAAGACGAAGTTGGCATGAGAGATAATTAAACAATAATAATTTAAGCAAATTCCTTCGCTTTTGATGATTTTTTCTCTTTCATTATCAAAGGGTTCTGTTGTAAATTATAAAACAGGTCACGGGTGCACTAATATCTAGAGCAGGGGTTCCCAACCCTATGCCCACCGATTGTTTAACGTGTGCGCGCCGCTGTGCGGTCGAAAAAAAAAAGTTTTAGTTTTCAATAGAATTCTATGTGAAAGTTTTCTCATTTTTAATGAAATAGAAACTGCGTCCAGCACAGATATCAGCACAAAGCGAAGTGCGACCGATCTCTTTTTTTTTTTATTTGCATGTATTAGTAACTCTATCCAACCATAAATTCACCTTGAAAACATAAATGGTGCCCGCCGTCCAACAGATATTCTAGAATGTGCTCCTAGGGACAAAAAGGTCGGGGACCCCTGATCTGGAGTACGCCTCGGTATCGCAGTCAAGGCTTCCCTAACCACTATACAGTCTGGGCGGCACCGCCAGATACTTGGAGCTCTGAAATTCAGACCGAGTATATCCCAGAAACATATCGGTAAAAAGGCAACATATACTACTCACCTACATGTTTCAGGATTGTAAGATGTAAACTGTATGCCTCCGAGTGGGTACGAGCTTTCGCAGGTTTTCATGCCTTCTCCGACGAAACAGCTACTGTCTCTCCATGTGTCTGGAATCCAAGGAAAAAGATGGAAAATAAATTAATAACAAAATTTTGAAATCTAAAGGTTTCAAATAATAGCCTAAAACTGCAAAAAGAATTTATCATTAAAAATTTCAAATCAAAATTAAAGATATCATTAAAAGATAAATTAAAGATCTAATGCTTTGTTAAATGGGAATAAATACTCTAAGAATCGGTCATGTAAGAGGATGCACAGGAGATAAATATTAAAACGAAATAAAAAAAAAGGTTAAGTATTAAATATCCTGCTTTCAGTATATTTTTTATGCGATTCATAACTTCAAGATAGCACAAAATTTCTAAAACTGAAAACATAATAAATACATTGAGAAACAAGAGCCCTTGAATCTTGACCAATGTTATTTAAATTTTAAATAACTGGAAAGAATGTCCTTCGATAAAAGTAGAAGGCGTGACCAAGACATCACCGAATGGCAGCTGGAATTACAATAACAGGATCTTTCAGGTTTCCTAACAAGATTTAAGGTAGGTAGTTTCATGAAAATTTTATGGTGGTCATTAAAGGAGAGGACGCCTTCAAAATTTTCACGAACCCTATCCTCTCAAATCTTTTATAAAATTATAATAATAATAAACCTTAATTTATTATTAAAAACTTAAGATCTTGAAAACTTTTGAATTTTCTGAGTGGTAGACGAGCAACGTCTTGATTTTACAATCTTCACTTGCGATGGTGCAAAAAAAGAGGGTAAGCCTACCTTTCGTTGGCTTGTGGCCAGGCAAATATTTCTCCTCTTGCGTGATGTAGGCCCACTTAGGCATTTTCTTCCCAAAAAGACCTGTTTCATCACAATTAAACATTTGCTGGTAAAGAACCCCCTACTAATAATAAATTGTAGGATCCCTGGCCGAAATTTATTAGCAGCAGCTGTATCAGAGCTCATAGCCTCCCCATGTCGCACAACACAGTGAACATCGGTTCTCTTTTTAAAATTTTCGAACCATCCACGGCTTGCTTTAAATGTCTTCAGTCGACGTACCTGGTGTTTTTCGGAGAAGGTCCAAGTACAGATTTTTAGCCTTAGCGCAAATGATAGCTTCCGACACCGAATCGACTTTTAACTGCTCCTTGTTAATCCACAACAACAACAGCTTCTCAACATCTTCTAGAAGTTTGCACGGCACATGGAAATAATAACAGTAACGCCTTTGGTCACATAAAGTTTCTTAATTTCTTCCTTCTTCTTCAGAATAGTGCCAATCGTCTATGTCGAACGACTGTAAGTCTCCGCTAATTCAATTACTCTTACACTAGGCTCATGTTTATCTATAATTTCTTTCTTAATTTCAACGGCCATGGCTTCCATCTTTTCCTTTGCAGCACTATGCAAGGCAACAATCTTCTTGGGAGGCATCGTGAAATAATTATTTTCACGTTAAATGTAAAAAACAATTAACTCACAAGCGCGCAAACACGTAGATCAAAGAACACTGAGTGATCTGACGAAGTGGTTCCCCGAGTCGAGCCGAATCGGGAAACTCGTCAGTCTGGCTCTCAGCCTGGCTCGTTGCTCGTTACTCGAGTCAATGCTCGTATTTAGAAACGAATGTTTCGCTCATACTTTCCTCGTATCTCGAATTTCTCGTATATAGATGTGCTCATCTCGAGGTTCCAATATATTCTGAACTCATAAACTTTTCAATTTTTTTATGTTCATATAATGTTCATAAAACTAACAAATGAAAACCAGCCAAACTGGTAATTTTCTAACTAAATTTAAATTTATATAAAAGTTACATGTGGAAATTACAGTACAAAGTTGCTTTCATCAACATTATTTTTCGCATAATTTTCATAAAAAATACGTGGAAAAAATACACTTATTTACCGAAAATTAAGCGTAGATCTTTTTGAAAGTATGCTGTCTGGTGTATCGATCTACATTTAGAAACAGCAAGTTGTTTTGACATATCCAACATAAAGGAACTAAACACCATCTTTTAAAAAGAAAGAAAGGAAAACAAATTTATGACGTAAAGGGGACACTCTTGGATAGGGACTAGAATTTAAATCACCTTTGTAGAATGTTATTGTTGAATAACTTACTTCCTGGAGTATCACATCCGTCTCTAATGTACTTGAGAGCATTCCTTAAAGCGTCTCCATTGCTGTTTCTCTCTAAATCTGTTGTCAAGCATTTCGTCTCTTGCAACAGGCAGTTGAAATCGTCCCTGACATTCCTGTTTAATGAAAGAAATCAATTAATCGGCTTTCAGTTTATTTCAAAAACAAACAGAATGAACATTTTATTTATATACGAAATTTCTGTCTTGAAATCGAAGGAAATCTCATAACCTTTTGCTTCTGTGTTCATATACAGATTCAGACTTCAATTACGAGAGATTAAATGTCTGAAAACACGAATGCCTAATTTTAAATAAGCCAAAATCCAAACGTAAATCGCCGTTAATTTTATGTTTAACTATAAGAACTCAATGTAATTGATTATTGTTAATTTTACATTAAGTTTAATGTAGAGATTGGACTAATTCTATATTTTTTTTGCATAGAATTCCGAATTTTGAAAGATTCTTGGTCGTCATACCTTCCTCCCAGACGTTTTCGCCCTCCTAAAGAAAAGGAACTGTGTTAGATATCCATAGAAATCGAAAGAGTTTTATTTAAAATCTATTGCAATACAAGGTTGCTGATCTGCCAAATTTTAAGTACAATTGAAGCTTAGTAAATAAAATATATAATTGTAACACTTTTGAAACTTCAGGCTCTTTTTATGAATAAAATTTCACATACACACACACACACACACAAAGATATTTCTCTAATAGGTAAGTATTTTTACATTTTCTCAGTATCTTTTTAAATCAAAGCAAATCTACAGGGTGAGGATTGTTTCAAAATACAATACGGTAAATCTTTAGACATGCATTGTTAAATTCTCTCTAGAAAATGAAATGTTGATTTTCAGGGCAGCGAAAAATATGGAAGATTGAAGTTTTCGAATCTCGAATCATTTTCATTATCCGTGGGATCTGAAGATTCGAATGTCCCATCCTTAGATCTATGCATTTCCACCGAAATCTCTCTTCTTCAGGGAACAAAATAGAACCATTCTGGATACATGTATCACAAAACTCATAAAGAATGATCACATAGGATGTTCGTAGAGGATGATTTCATAGAGGACGTCCCATCAAGACAGTTGCATAAAATTTGAAAAAATAGATTATCTGTCTGAAGAGGATATCCGTGATAATGATTAATCATCCTTCTTTCAGCAGTTTAACCAGCTCTATGAGTATTTATTTACTATCAGTTTCGTAGCTATTTATTTACTTTTACAATAAATATTTACTAAAGGTAATACAGGTACATCAGTGGCGGCGTTCGTTAAACAGCTGAACTGCTAAAAACTTATATGGCTTCTACTTGGATTAAAATCTAGGGGTATAAGCTTTAGCTACACGGATGTTTTCGTAATTTCGTAATTTTCCCAGTGTGCGACACGAATATGAGCCAGTTTCCTTTTAAAATTCCTTCACGAAGTGATCCCTTCCCTTAGGCATAGAGTATCCTTGTGGGTTTTGCCATAATTAGGATAATAAGTTTATTCCAGTACACATTTTCATGACGAGTTTCGCGATTTTTAAAGGATTCTCGAGTTTTAAAGAAATATTAAACGATCATTTCGCGGATTTTAAAAAATCTGAGAATTCGTGAATTTCAAATTTTATGTAAATGTCTAACAAATCCTCGAATTCCAAATTTTTCTGATTTCTGGTAAAATTATCGGATCATTTTTCATATTTAATTACCTTCAATAGTAGTTTTCATTAGAATGCATATAAAAATGTACCGCGAAGTCATTTGCATCTAAATCAGAAATCTGAATTTTCCCCAAACGATATTAAATCGCTCTGCATTATCTGCGAGCACCGATAAACAAAAGGCCATACAGTGCATCAAAATGACATTCTTTTAATTCAAATCTTGATCTCATATAATGGCACTGAATTTATAATTAACTGATATGTCGTTGACACTGTATCAAGATTACGAATTTACATCTTTTTTGTTGTTTACATGAGCATCCATTTTTTATCCTATTTTTTGATATTTTACATTTTGGTAAAGGAAAAAAGTATTTTTTATATACACTTCAAATTTTTTAATGCATAATAAAATTCTTAATTAAGAGCAGGACGTTTGTTTTACTTTTCCCTACCTAGTAAAAGTATTTCCCATTTAAATATTTGGATTAATTCTAGGCAGTAAAGTTTTAGTGAAACTTTTCGTGAAAACCCATCATGTGACATTTCATAATTTCACCTATGATCGCACAGTGAATTGTCCGTTTTCTCTTTCAATAAAATTACTTCATTAGCCGTAACCAATCAACCAATCACGGTGACACAAGAAAGGGAAATTTAGATTTTTGATTACAGTATTTTGTAGTATTGATTAATATTATGCAACTAGCAAAATCCCAGCATTGACTGAATAGATAAGATTGTTGAATACTGATAATTAAACCTAGCTCGGATCTCGGCGAAGAGACTAGTTGTATGGCCCTGATATTCCATATGATGTAAATATGCGTGTATTACTTTGGAAAATGCTCCAAGAAGGCATACCCACTTTAAAGAAATAGCTTTAGAGTGCTTTACTATGTTCAGTTAAAACTTAAAATGAGAAATCTTCGCACAATATTTGTCATTTCAGTCTCGAACTAAGAAATTCAGAACTAAGGTTATTTGAATATGGCAAAAGAACTAGCATTCTAAGAAAAGGGATGCCTTCGTGAATGTCTTTCTAAAGGAAACTCTCTCGAATGCACGTTATACATGGGGAAAACTACGAAAAACCGTGCAACCAACCGTCCCCCCCCCGGGTTCGAACTCGGGTCGAAGCCTACCTGGGGTGGATCTAAAGTTGGATTTATCAAGACCAATAAAAACGTTTATTAAAAAAGCGGAATATAAATCCCTCAATTTTAGTACACTTCATGGCGGCTTAAAAAACATTCCGCTCTTCTTGCTATATTATTTTTATGTGAAGGAAAACTTTTAGGATTCAAAATCAAATTCGAAAAAACAAAATCGGATTCCCCCCCCCATCTTGGTTTATCATTCCAAAAAAAAAAAAAAAAAAAAAAAAAAAAAAAAAACAGAGGTGCGAAGATTTGAGATGAATCTTGGAAAAAATTCATGCCTTTCGAGGATTCGAAAGTCCCATCCTATAAAAGACAAAGTGAGCTTTTAAACTGACAGGCCTTTCTTCGCGAGACTCATCAAACAATGAGCTGTCCTTCGGCTCACTTTCGATCCGTGTCAAACGCTCTCCATACACCAAAGCTGGCAACGATCAATCCATTTCGAAAGATATTCCCACAAAAGAGTCGATTTTGGGAATAGCCGACCAAAAAGAACCCACCATAAATAAACAAAGGAGGCGAGTGGGTCCTTAATGTCTGTTTGTCCTTGTGCCAAGCGAAGCATGAAGGCCCACCGTGGCCTCATTTTCTACCTGGCGTTTCAGACAATGGCCGCATGAGGCGCTACTGTGTCAAGTTGCCGGAAGGATGTTAAGCGCGTGCATCAACATCGGCTTTTTTAAAATCTGTCGCATTATCCTTAAGTAGAATAGTAATTTTACCTCGGAAAAAAATGACAAAATTTGCTGAGCCGTCACCATATAAATCATGAAATTCGCTGCCGCCAAGAATTCGCATTAGCATTTTCTGGAAAGAAAAATTCCTGTTGCTACGCAGTATTAACTGAAATAACTAGTATGTAACTAAATAACTATTAATATGAATGATAATTATTAATACATTACTAAATAACTATTACTGTACATAGCAATTACTAATATGTAACTGAAAACTTATTATTGTACATTATAGGTAATACAGTAAATATTTCTAATTATTAAAAAAATCATTTTATCTTCAGTTCTCATATGCACGTATAAGTATACAGTATTTAAAATGCCATTTTTAGCCCAAACGGGCAGTTTGCCCTGAAGGACTATAAATTTCGCTTTGGCATTTTGCGTTGAAAACCACAAACGGCGAATCACTTTTCAAATTTTTGCCACCAAATATTATCGCCCTGTGTTATATTCAAAGAAATTAAATAATGAAAGACCTGCATGAATGTATGCAAGTTTCTCGCATTGTGATAAAACAAAGGTATCTAGAGCCATCAAAATTTGAATAACGTAATTTTCCATAGAATATGGGCATGTGGAAGCCCTAATTTGAATTTGAAATTTGTTTTATTATCGATTTCACATTTTGTAACACTTGAATGAATTTTTGATTAAAACAACTAAACGATTTCAAAGCGAGCAATGGCACCACTGTACGAAAAAAAAAAAAAAAAATCTCCAGCGCGCAGAATTGTGTATCGGAAATTCTAAAGATATGTTCATTTTAAAATTATTTTGCGATATCGCAGTTCAGCTGAATTTTATGGTTTGAGCACGTAGAACATGATACTTAATAAATAAAGGTAACACGCAAAACGTTAAAAAAACGCCTCTTTGGACTTAATTTAAAACCTGATTCAATTTTTTTTTAATATACTCTTGTTTTGCTCTCTGCAAAAATAAAAGCTAGCTTCAGTTTTTAGGTGTTAAGCTGTCCCATAATTGTAAATCAATTTCTAAAAGTTTATTATTATTTACTAGAAATAGTAGAAGTAGTATTTTTAAGTAGTTAATTTGTGGCAATCAGAGCCGTTATTTCAGATCCAGACAAGTATTAAACTGGTTGGAGATATAATACCTGTATGTGCTTAGTGTCTAATAATTTAAATTAAATCTGCGTATAATAAAAATACATAGATTTTACGCCATGAAAAGGCACCATTTAAAGCTTTAAATAAAAATAAATAAAAGAAGTATTCTTTCATCGAAACTGTTTACGTAACTCCGGAAAGAAATCTACAAAGCTGGGAAAAGGCCAGCAATAATTTAAATTTCAATTCTGGAAGCAGCATAATTTCACAGCAATTCTTGGAGCACAGCAATTACTGCATGTGGATCGTAGAATCAAATAACAAAGTAATTTAGCATTTCAAAAAGATATTATTAAATATCTATCCGGGGATTTACACTATCACATTACACATTTGTTTATAAAAGTTTTATAGACAGGAACCATAACATTATTACAAGAATGTGAAAACGGAGTAACTTTTCCACAATTTTATGACTA